ACCAGTTGTCCTTGTTGTTGGGATGCACAGTTCTCCAGTTATGGCGTGGTCACTGTCTCAGATGCATTCGTTTTCTGGTGTCTTCTGTCCGGCGTGGTCAGTTTCAAATCTTGAGTTCAACTTTGTACTATTCTCTTCAAAATTTTTTTCTTCTCATTTCCTTACCATTTCTTTTTCCGTGAAAGTCACTTCTTGCCTTGTTAAATACCTTATATAATCATAAAATGTAAGTTTTAGAGTTGAAAGGAATTTACAGTTATATGATATTGTTCAATTAGAATTATTACTTTTGAAAGACGCGTTCATTTTAAATGTAATTAACTGATTCTTTAGGAATTTCCGATTTTGTGTCAGACGTGTTTGGGAAACAATCCGTATTTGCGAATGGTAAGCATTACAGATATTTAATGATAACTATTTGCACGTATTTTGGGGAGTCGATTCTGGTTTTATGTGCAGTTATTTGTGTCTTTGCAAGAGCTGATGTCAAGGGTGTTTTGGGAATGTAGTCTGTGCGAAGTAAATCAACAGACTTAAATTAGAGTAGGAGATATGCAGCAGAACAGCCTAAAACTACAATAGATATAAAAATTATTTTTCGATAGAGTTTGCCATTTATTCCGATGTTTCAGTTTCAGACACAGAAGCAAGTACCACTTTAGTTCACAAACATTACGACGATAAAAGTATTTGTATAAAATTTTGGACAATAAAGTACAGAAAGATCAGAAACGGCGAGTAGGAAAACAGGAAGAGTCTGGGAATATGCAGCGCAAAAGAAAGGATTGCTAATTTCAGGATGAAAGATTTTGAAGGGAAAGTTAGAAACTATAGAAGCGATGAATGTTGGTTAAGGTAATTTTATGTGAAAGACTTCTAGGGGAAACAAATGAAAGAAAATGCGACTGGTGTAGTTATTGGATAATGGATATCGTACTATTGCTAAGCTAAATATACAAAGTCTTTAATAAAAAATAAGGAAGGTATGAGAATTATCAGAAATTAAAATCACGTATTGGAATATTAGAGTAAAGGTTGATTAAGTGTGAAGGTTTGTGTTAACGCATTTAGCCAGGCGGTAGCGACTGACGCAACTCTGGTTCAGAATATTTGCTGACAGATTTGGAACGGGGATCTGAAGGGTATCGTGAGTTTCAGGGATCAGAGAATACTGTTTTTTGACTAGCGCAGATTCACCGCTTAACTTTTATAAGCCTACCTAACTAGTTTCTTTTAAAAATTATTGAAAATATCAGTTTGCCAAGTAATTTTGGAAAGGTTTAGATGTATGAAATTTCACCTTTAAGGAAAGTTATTTGAAGGGAATTAAGAAGAATGGTAGATTGTTTGCGTAGGTCAGATGTTGTGTATCTTCATGCAGACGCGCTGTTGCTCTAGAAACGAGGTTCTTCTGATATAGATGAACTGCGTACTCATGCCAATTGCGCCATTTTGAATTCGAAACACCAGAGTAATACTTAAAAGCGAACATTACCCATATAATATTCAGAGGATAGGCGTAGTTGTTTCAGTGGAAAGAGTATTTCTCAATAAATAACAGGAAAGTCCCGTTTAGTGTTGATTATAAAGTTGCTTCAGTAGAAAAACATAAAAACCTGACCACATATTTTCTTTCTGAAATTGAAATGTCTTATGGACTCTCATTGGTGTTACTCATAAAATAATCAGCAGATTTCAAGCAAACTGCAGGAGTTTTGGTGGCAAATTCATTGGTGCTTATAGAAAATAGTAAGTGGGGACGGAATTGCGACCGACAGAAGAGCGCTTTTGAGCAATGCTTTTTTCTCTCTACAGTTTCTTATTTTGGTAATTAGTTTGTATATCAGTCATGCATTTATTTAAATGTTTTATTTTCACTTCTGAATGGTGCTACTTTCCGTTTTATTTGGAACCTTGTTTTTTATATTTTAAATTTATCGCTATTTTAAATGCGATTAGCTGATTAGTTTTTTGTTGGATCCATTTTATAACTTTTCTGTTGTTTGCAGATGAAAGAAAAATTCGGACACGAATGCAAAATATGTGGTCGACCCTTTACGACTTTCCGATGGTGTCCTGGAAAGAAGATGAGGTACAAAAAGACGGAAGTATGTCAGACATGTTCCAAAGTTAAAAACGTTTGTCAGACTTGTCTTTTGGATCTTCAATATGGTACGTTATTAGTTGATGACCATTTTT